CCGACATCTTTTCACAGTGGCACTCCAAATCACACCGAGTGCAATGCGCATAAGTCGTTTTTGTAAACGTATCAAGTTTTTTTACATAAGCGGTGAAGTCAAATGTTTTATCTCATTCAACTCAACATACCATCAGCTACAAAACTCCCCATTCTTTTTTTTCCTTTCCTTTGTTGAAAAAATTCGTTTTTACTGGTATCATAGAAAAACTCGGACATAACCATTTTCTTCCCATGTGTTGCCCCAAGAGTTTCTCACTTTCCAATAGGGCTGTCCGCTCGCTGAGTCCATTCCATATCCGACTATGGCCATAGCATGATTCGTTTGACCTTGCCAATAAGTACACAATGAGGAATAGAAAACACCACTAACGTACGACAGAAACGTACGTTCAATCTCACTGCTACTCGACGCTGACAGCAATGATTTTGAACTTTTTTTTCCGCCCACATACATATGAACATAAAGTGGACCAATATTGGCCAGAAAGTACTGCATATTCCATACAATATCGGTTTTAATTGCCCATGCATCGAGACCACTGAATTGAACACCACCCGTATTGGTGAAGCGACACGTTCGATTGGCGCCTTCGTACGGATACGACGAACTGCCGTCGACGCGGAAGTGGTTTGCCTTCAAGTATGCCATCGCCGTCTCAAAATGACCGCCATTGCAACCCGGACTATTACTGGAAACGAATATTCTAGTACTATGATACGTTCACTCAGTTTTAAGATACATATGACTAAGCATTTCAGTATCATTGTGACAGCCGAACGGGAGAAAACAATCAACGAACTGTTGTTCACTTAAAGCTCGAAATGCCTTCAGTTGTACGGTGAATTGAAATTCGAGAAGATTGACGAATGCAAAGGCCCAGCAGCTCCTACATGGCCCTTGATTTTTGACCGGACCTACCTAAAAGAATTGTAAGGTGCAGGCAATTCAACCTTCAAGTAAAAATTTTTTTTGCCGTTTTTTTTACATCATTTGATAGAGTGAGAGTTGCTGATCACGAAAAACAACTTTTTACCTTACACAAATATCTGTTTCAGGTCGGAAAATACAAAAAAATCGAAGTATGTCGTATTTTTCAAAAACACATTTTTTTCAAAATACGCCTTATATTTCGGTTCGTGCTTTCTCTGAGTTTCTGAAAATATTTTTTTCAGATTCAGCATCAAAAACTGAGCCT